CGGAGTTGTGCATTTTTAAAGGTGTGTGAACTTTATCTCGGCTAAACTGTTATGAAGGGAAAAAGAGAGAGAGACTGACCCGTGGAAAATGGGGAAGACAGGAAAGAGATGGGAGAGAGCACACATATTAGGAGAGGTTAGGGTCATGAAACAGGAGACTGCGTGTCTTTAGATAATTATCTCTGCTACCAAAGCTCACTCCCAGGTGCTGTGAACAGATGCCTCACCTTGTGGGATACAGTGAAACCTATGTTGCTGTGCCCAGCAGGGGTTGGGGGTGCATTCACCTTTGTGACCCACCAGGTCAGGAGAAGGACCTGGGAGTGTGGCCATAATCAACCAAGGTGCACGTGTGCTTTCAAAGTCCTTAATCCAATTTCTCAATCTGAACTTCACACTCATGAGTAAACAGGCCTGAAAATATTTGGGTTTCGGAGTCAGAGACCAGCTCTAGTCCTTGATGTGTCTTCCCAGAAGATCAGCCCTGACAGCTCCTCACTTGTGCCCATGTGAGGAGGACTTATCCCAAGTGAGGAGAACTTACTGTGCTCTATCCCTTGGGATGCTTCATGCATTGAGTTTCCTCTGAGTGGGGCATCCTTCAAACAGGACATTCCTAACCCTTCTTGGAATTACCCCATTGCAATTCTGGAAACATCTAGAACCCCATGTGCATACCATCTGAATCGTGGACATCGACCTCCATTTATATAACCTTCTGCTGACACATTCACCCTGTGAGGTTGGGTTGCAAAGAGGAGTGGCCCGGGTTTTGTCTTAGGTCCAGGATCAGCCCATGGGCCCATTTTTCACCCTCTTCCCTTCCCGATGACTGTTGATCTCTTCAGCTCTTATTCAACAGGACTTGAAAACATTAAGCACGGCCCTTCATTTGATTAAACTGATTGTATGAGTGGAGAACAAGGCTGTGGGCTTGGAGCTAGAGATGAGTCTGTTTCCCACCGGGGTTGAACAGACACTGACATCTGAAAGTTAAGGCTGAGGGGGCTGGTGGGGGAGAGAAGGAGCCGCACAGGAGTTACGTTACAGCCAGGAAAGGTTAGGGATGAATCACAAGATCAGGGTAGGAAACCAAGTAATAAAATAAGTGCATAATAGTGGGTTGCCAGGCAGACAGTGGGCTAATGCCAAAGTGACAGCTGAATGCCGCGGGGAGCTGAGCACCGGGGAGGAGTGGGCGAGATGGAAAAATAAAGAAAGAAATCATGAAAGCCAACATAGAGGGGGAGAGCAGAGGAGCCTGTCACTTTGTCTTAGGAGAAATTAAGAAGCCAGACAAATTATAAGTGTACTTTCATTTGGAAACATGATCAGACAGTCTGGGACAGGCGCTCCCAGGCGGGGGCGATGGTGGCTGCAGGGTCCCCCGTGTGGCTCCCTCTGACTCCTCTGCACTTGCCGAAGTTTGCAGGTGTCAGGGAGGCCCAGGGCCGAGGCGATGTGTGAGGGCTCGCCGGGGCTTCTTGGTCCTGCTGTCCAGAGAGAACAGTGATGGAGCCTGGGGCATGGCCGAGGGCCCTGGGTGCTGGGGACGGCCTCTGCAGGGGGTTTGCTCTTGGCCTCCTATTTCAAATGAGGAAACTGAGGCAGGCAGCTGCCCCAGGTCACATGCACTGCCAGGCGTCTTGCTCCTGACCTCCCTGCCATCCCCCTCCCTGGGCCTCCTGCCAAGCCACCAAGTAGGTGGCACAGGGCCCTTCTCCCCGGGGCCAGGGTGGTCTTCAGCCCCAGGGAGGGGTTTTCACAGGCCACCTAGAGTTGGATGACATTGATTTCATCTGTCCTGCCACCAGATAGGGAACATGCTGTCCTCTCTGGCATTTGGTGGCTTTCAAACCCTCTCTCCTTGGCAACGTTCCCTTGGTTTCTCAGTCAAAATACTCATGGCCCAAGCGGAGGCCGGGCCTCCAGTGTCACGAGAAGAAAGAGCCCTGTGCTCTGCTACACTGGCTCCGAGGAAGTTCAGCGGAATTTCAGGTTCCAGGAGCAGCTTAGCTCTGGGTGTGGCAAGATAGGAGTATGGAGGAAAGGTCCCCTCCCCTGCTCTGAGGCCCAAGCCGATCATGTGACCATGTGGGCCGCAGCAGCCTCAGCTGGGCGAGGAGGGATTCGTCGTCTTTCCAGAAGGTTCTCTGCAGTCTTTCAACAGCTTGACCCAACCAGGGAGTCAATGCAGGCCTCCAAGGAGGCACACTTGGGGTGTGGGTCTCTGTGCCTCCCCTGCAGGGGTCTCTGTGCACCCCGGAGCTAGGCCTGGGAGAAGGGCTGTGAACCCCACAGCTCCTCAGCAGCTCCCCACTCCAGAAGCCCCCAGCAAAACAAAGGAAGTTTCTAGAGTGCTGTGCAGGCCTAGCTAATGTTTCACGAGGACGATAGAAAGCATAATTTGTTTTCCAACGGTAATTTTATTATTTCTCAATGCGAAACAATGTAAGATAAATTCCCTATTATTTTATAATAACCATATCAATTTTATAATACCACATTATTATAATAACCATTTTACTGCAAGTGATGAGTATGTAATTGCCTTTCTTATATATTAGCATATTGTAATTTACCACCACAATTGTTGCTTTTTTTTTCCCCTCCTTAATTTTGGTACTTTCAATATTGAAAAACTTTTCAATATTTTCTAAAGTGGCTCATTCAGGCTTAAATTGTAGACTTTCTCCAACCCGCGTGTGTTTCTGCCATCATCTCTCTGTTCAGATGGTAAATTACCCTGAAAGGTTTAATGAATAAATTAATTAATAATGACCACAGAAGAGTCTCATTAAAGCTGCGTGTTCCAGGTGCTCAGCTGGCATTTGGTGAACGGTGACTGATTATCTTGTGATAAAGGATGAACTTGAGCCCCCAAACCCTTCCTTCCTGACTCATAATAGGTCTTGCTGTCGTGGTTATGTAAACGAGGGGAGCAGGCGGGAAGTTATTGTTTAATTTCAAAAACACACATGAATCACTAATATAAAATATGCTCTGCCCCATGCTCCACTGTCTGAGGTGACTCATGTCCCAGGCCACCCTTGAGGAGATGGAGCTGCTACGACATTGCCCACCTAAGAGAGGTTGTTGTGTTTCTTCCCCTGGCCAGGGGTCCGCAGGATGCCCACACCCATGGGCAGAGTCCACTCTCGGTGCCCTCCACAAAGTCTCAAGGGTGCAGAGACTCCCAGGAGATGTCCTGGCACTTGGGACAGGACTTTCTTGGCCCAGTACAGCCCTCTGCAGGATGTAGAGCATCCCTGGCCCCTGAACACCCATGGCACCCCCCATCTCTGTGACAACCTCAAAGCCTCCCCCACATCTCCAAAGGCAGCTCCGAGGCAGGCGGTAGGGAGGGCTCTGCCTCTGGTGAGAGTGTGTCGGGACCGTCAGTTCTGCCAAGTTCTAGAAGATGCTGTGTGTTTCTGAGGCTAAAAGCCCATCCATCTCTTTTACAGTGGCCACTTGGCTACTCACAGAGATCTAATTTAGTGCTGCTGTTAAGCCTGGCAAGAGGCTGTTTTATTTTTGTATTTCATTTTCTTAATGAAGAATTATTGCAGAAATAGGCTCTGGGGTCTCAGGCAAGGAGAGAGGTAAAGTACCTCAGGCAAATAAGCGAGCTCTGGAGGAAGTCAGAGATGGAGGCCTGGGCAGGGCCTACGGCTGAGTCCCTAGTGCAGGGGTGGGTGTGGACATTTACACCAGGCTGAGCCTCCCACATGCCAGGGTTAGGACCTCTAACTCTGCACATCCCTGGACCAGGGCTGTGGGCAACCTGGCAGTTGGGGTATCAGAGGTGGCCTCGTCTTAGCAGAACCCTGGAGACTGATGTTTGGATGGCAAGGCCGCCGGGCTGGCCTGCAGGGAAACAGGGTCTTGTGCTACCCAGAGGTCCCCGCCTCGGACCCGTAGGACCTTAGGACCCCACATCATAATCCCAGACCAGAGAACCAGCCGAGACGTTGGTTAATAAGCTGAAGCCACTCTTACCCAGCAACACTGTGAGCACTCACCCTGGCGGAGACAGTCTTCAGGGCTGACCTAGACAGTGTTGCCCAGGACAGAGCTCAGGTCCTAGTCAGGGATTCTGATTTAACATGTGAAGAAGCAGTGGAGAAGCTAATATGGAATAGTGAAAGTTCTGGGAGGGAATGCTGCAGGTATGGGGCGGTATGCCCGAGGGTGTGGGAGCTGCTGGGACGAGAATGACAAGAAGGCCCAACCACGCACGAACCAGGACAGGTGCTGCAGGCAGGAGTCAGTACAGGCAAAGGCTCCGAGGTGGGCATGAGACCAACTCTAGGATACGATCAAAGTTAACTCACAAAAGCTGAGCTCGTTTTGCAGTTCGAAGGGAACTGGCAGCTCCCGAGGGCTGACCATCCTCTGATTCAGAGGATGGATTCAGCAGAAGGGGTGTATTTAAAAAAAAAAACAAACAAAACAAGGACTGAAATGTTCAGGATTCTTTTGGTTGTCCTTTGAGCTCGCCCATGTCACCCAGCCCTTGCACTGCACTCAGGATGTGCTGCTGAAGGACCGGGGCTCTGCAGAGCTTGGGCCGGAGCAGCCAGGGGCAGGAGTGCAGCAAGTCAAGGCCCATCTGCTGGGACACAGGGCCTGCAGCCAGAGACGATGCGGCCTCCATGTTCACCCTGGTGACCTGTGTAGGCCTCGGTTTCCAGAGCGAAGTTGGATCTCATCTCTGACTTGGGCTTTTTTTGTTTTTCTTAAGGAACAACAGATGTCACATGAAACTTTCTTTTGACACGACAATACCCGGAACAATGAGATCCATCAGGAACAATGAGAGCAGAGCGCCTCTGAGTGTATTTTGAGCAGTGATTACCACCGTCGCTGCTTTTCAAATGTCACTTGTGGAGTGTTCCTCTGTTTGTTCGAAGCACCAAACTTTCTTTCTGTTCTTTTCCAAAGTAGTTGAGAGCATTTTAAATCTCTTTGGTGAACCACGGCAAGTCACTCCAAAATTAAAGTGCTCAGAACCTTTATTTTGAAAAGCCCGAACGGTGCCCATCAAACCAGCACAGAGAGCACTCTTTTTTCGTTACATACCCAGCACATTCATCTGTCATTTAAATAATTTGACAGCTCGCAAGAAGCTGTCTGACGAGTATCGTGCTCAATTGTTAAAAGTACGACAAAGAAAGTCCAAGAAGTTTTTTCCCCAAATAATTTATCATTAATAATTCACAGGAGCTGCTCTGTATGTGGCACCTGCTGAATGCAATTATCCAACCCCACTGACTTCCTCTGCCTCCGCTCTCTGAACGGAGGCTGTGGAGACCACATGAACATAAAGGACACCTGAGACTTTCACATGAAAGGGAGAAAACAAGGCATCAAATGTATACAGTTATCATGTGTCACTCAAAAATAAAACAAAGCACAACTTAAAAAATAACTACTCTCCGAAATGTAAGAAGCTTCTAAAAGGAGTTATAAAATCAATTAATTTAAACATTAAATTAAAAGATAAAGTTTTTTTTAACACTGCTCAAATAAGCTTCCCACATTCAATATGTATGCAGAAATATCCAAGTGCAGAAGCACTTGCTGCCTGTCTTCAAATACATCACTCTGAAAACATGTGTTGGCCCAAAGCACCTGAACCGTCCCCTCCAGCACCGTGGGCAGCTCTTCGGAAGTCCAGCCTCCCTTGTTTTGTGGTTTGGGAAGAAGTCTCGGTGTGGGGATGGGTGTGGGGATGCGCCAGTGCTGTCTTTGACTTTTATCCCAGACATTGTATTTTGCTGAGAACAAATAAACATGGGCCCCTGAAGACGGGCCCACAGCCAGCCATCTTTGGAGCACCAGGTTTCAGGTTAGATAGGGACCAGCATCCAGGGGCAAGACAAAGCAAGAATAGAGTATATCCTCTCAGGGTTGTTCAACTCCTGCATCTCGCCTGTGTCTTCCTGGCCCATGTGTCTCTACCTTTGGGTAAAAAATGTAGACGCCTGAACTTGCAGGAATAGCCACACAGCAGGGGCCCCACCTCTGCATCAGGTGTGTCCTGCAAAGAATGGGCAGCTCCCCCAACCTGTGGGCCAGCCCTGTGCCCAGGCCCCCTGTGGGCTGTGGCCACTCCAGCACTTCTGAGAACAGGTGGGGTGTCGGGAAGTAATTAGGAGACTCTGCTGACACTGCCCCTTGTCCAGGGTGCCTCGTTGCAGAAAGAGAAGCTGGCCTCCACTGGGGGAAGCTGAGCCGGCCAGCCCATGGCACGGCGCACATTTCAGTGCAGCCAAAGTCTCAGAATTCACCGAGGAGGGAAAGCAGTGGACTGCTGTGTTTCCTCTTGCCAGGTTTAAATTAATTTCTTTAAGTGTTCCCGTTAGTTAGCAGTGATTGATAGAGTGGAGATATTATTAATAAAAATTAGGTACCCAGCTTGGGAATGGACTTTTGTTCATGCCTCAGCACTTACCAAAGGGCAAACGAGAAAAGGATCTTTCCAGAGCTTGCATTTGGAGCGAGCTGGGCCAGGTGGAGAGCGAGTCCAGCTATTCATCACGGCTGTCAGGGCGAGTGTCTTGCCAGAGTGTTTACCCACATTCCCAGTAAGCTCTGGAGTTGTGCTAACAGGGGCTGGTCCCGCTGGGACTTGGAGGACTTTGGAAGTGACTCTGGCTGTTCAGCGCGTGTGTTTGGCTGGAGGTGCCTGCATCCTGTGGCCCCTGGTGCTCACAAGTGTGAGAATGCACTGAGAGACTCTAGAAAAGCAAACCACGTGGCTCAGAGGGGACCCGCTGGGGAGGCCTCGGAGGGTCTGGGGCCGTGTGTGTTCTGGGAGCTGTGGATGATGGGGACACAGCACCACAGTGAAGGACCAGCCGGTTCGTCCCCACGGGATAACATGCATCTGGTTCAGGGAAATGAGAGAAGTCCAGACGGGAAAGTTGAAGGCACCCAGGCCAGGCTCTGGGGCTCCCACAGGGCCGTCTGCTGCCAGACAGCTCTCCTGGGGCCCAGCCACCTGCAGGCTCGCTGGGGAGCTCTGTGGGCAAAGGGGCTTCCCCGCTGGGCGTGCAGAAGGCATCTGCTAAGTACCTCCCGTGTGCCAGGTGCGGTTGGGGTAAGGAGGTTGCCTCCTGTGTACCAGCTACGTTAGGGGCAAGGAGGCCATCACAGGGGTGAGAATGCAGACTGTGTTCACTATCCTATTCCCCCCACAGCTAGTGCCCCAGAGCCGCCCACAGTAGAGTCCCTGAAGGAGTTTGCCCACAACAGCAGAGGAACCGTGCTGCTCCTCCGTAGCTCTGGGGAGCGCTGGCTGAGCGTGCTGGTGCTCTCCTTGGGGTGTCTAATGCTCAGAGCTGACTCCCCTTGGAAGCAGGGACAAATCCACCTCATTTGACAGGTGGGGAGACTGAGGACGCCCAGTGGCAGGAGTGCGTGGTCAAGGCAGAGGGAGGGTCTGCCTCCAGGGCCCATGCTGATGGCCTGCGCACTGCGCTGCCCCTCCTGTGCCCCGCTGCAGCCCACAGATTGAGCCCATCCTGGCTTCCGACGCGCTCTCTGGCCAAGTGGGGTCAGCCACTCAGCAAGACGGATGGCCTCCGCAGGGAGGTCTGTGTCTGAAGCCAGGCCCCGTTGCCCCCAGCACTGGGCACTTGACCCTGTTACTGGGAGAGCCTGTGAGCTAAGAGCTGCTCCCAAACAGACGACCCTGCCTTCCCCCGCGGGCCCAGCGGGGTCGGCACGGGACAGGACGGAGGGATCCAGTAAGCGGCCTCTTGGCTCACAGCTGCCTGGTGCCAAGCTGGGGAAAGAAAACTTGCACAACCCTGGCCGGCTTTCAGCAGAAAACGGTGGGGGATCCAGGAATGAAGGAATCTAGCACATGTGAGAAAGCACAGGTGCCCTGATCCCCACTTCCCGCTTTCCAGTCGGGGGCCCCAACCTACCCAGAAGACAGCCTCCCCTTGGGACACTCACTGGGGCAGAGCTCTCAACTCCTCAAGTTTCTTTTGCAATACCCAAGCACAAGGGAAAGCTTCTTGCCCCCTACCCCCGGCCCTGGTGGGGGCCTCTCTGAGCCATGCTCTCCCCTTGGGGAAGGGGCTTCCAGGTGGCACCTGTCTTCAGCAGACTTGTGGTTGACAGTGCGACCCGCGTGCGGGAACACAGACCCAGCTCCAGCACCAGCTACCGGAACAGCCGTTCCCAGGGGGCTCCGTCCCCTCTAAACTTCAACCTGGAAACACTTACGGTTTCTACAGCAGAGTTAGATGCCCAGCCCCGGAGCCGCTGGGCTGGGCCCACCTGGGCTGTGTGGCCCGCGTCTGGGTGCTGTGAAGTCTGCCCCCTGGTAGAAGAGCCCACAGGCTGAGCTAACTTCACTGAGTTTTAGGAATTATCCCCAGCACCCATCAGAAAAGATGTTTCTGTTCTGAGTGGCGGCATCACAGGAAAACGGGACGATTTGCATCGATACCAGGGAGCTGGCGGAAGGTGGCGTTCAGTTCCTGAGCAATCATTGTTACTTCCAGTGGAGTAACAGCATGGTCCATTTTCTCCCTGTGAAATAAGTGTGTTGGATTGTCTTTGTGGTAACTATACAATTAGTCCCTCCTGCCCTTGCTCTGCCTGATGTGGCTGTCATTTCTGAGTGCGTTTGGAGCTGTGCTCTGTGACAAATTCGTTCTCACTTTCTTTGAAGCAAACTCTTAGAAAACGGACTGACTTACTCGGTAGTACCTGAAGCCAAGAGTGATTTGAGTATGAAGGGCAGTCTCAGTTAGAGATGAGCAAACTTGGAGCCTCAGGGAGCTGTCAGGGACTGCAGGTGCAGGGACGAATCAGTGGGGGCCATCTGTCTGTTTGCCAGTTCTACTGTCGATCAGGCTAGAGTCTCACAGAGATGGCCTGCATTTTAGAAGGCCACATGGAGCTCTGTAAGGCAGCTAGCATCCTTGACATGGAAAGCCAGCTGCAAACTCAGGCTCAGAATAAAAGGGAATGTTGAAAAATTCAGGCAGAATGGCCTTTGTACACCTTGTCTACAACATGCAAACTGAAGGGGAAGACAAAGCCCGGTTGTGAAAGCAGATTCAGGGAGAGAAGAGAGGCTGACGGATCCCAGGCAGGTGAGAGGGTTGGGGTCCAGAAGGAGACCCGCTGTGGGCTTCGGGTCCCACACAGGGCAGGTGTGTACCCAGTGCAGAGGGGCAGGGCTATGAAAGGGCCCCGAGCTTCCCTCCTCCCTCGGCACAGAGAGCAGCAGGGGCCTGGGCAGGTTTCTGGAGGAGCCGGGACGGGAACTGCCTCGGCCTCCTGGGTCTGGGTCCGCAGAGACTGGGGTGGAGTCTCACCCAGGGAGGGTGCAAACAGCGAGGCCACTGAGACATGTGGACACCCCCAGGGTGCAGTGAGCGGCCACAGCAGGGCTCCCAGGGAGGAGGGGCACTAGGCACCGGGCTTGGGCCTCGGGCCTGCACCTCCTGGGGGTGGAGGAAGAACCCGCCATCACCTTGCCCGGTGGCTTCCATTTAAGCTGTCAACCTCGGGTGGGGGTGACATGGGACACTGCACTCTGAGGGGGCGATGGCTCCTGGGATGAGTGACGTGAGCTCCAGCAAGTGCCCCGTCCCCCAGGCAGAGCGCCATCATCCTCTCCATCAGGCGGAGGCTCCACAGAGGTGACGGAGCCGCTTCCTGGAGCGGCTGTCACGTGGGTTGGTCACCACAGAGAAGCAGCCCTCCAGAGGTCCCTCCAGAGGGCCTGACGTTGGACATGAGCGCTTCCCAAATGTGTCTTCCAGACCCATCTTTGCAGTAAAACCCGCACTTCATTAGCGCACTGAGCAGGAGCTTTACTCCTGGATTCATTTGTCCTTCTTCACTCTGGAAAAACTCTGCGAGCAAAACCCTGGAGGGAGGGAGGGAGGTACCTGCTGGAGCCTCGGAGGACCCCTGGGTGAGCCCTCAGCCCGAGGCCACCTTCCTGGACCTCAGGGCTGGGTGGGGACATGGAAAGGACAGCACCGGGGGTTGGCTGGGTGCTAGGTGGGCTTGGTATGTCCCTACCACACTGTCCCACCTGTTCCTCCAACCTCACAATAGAGGACCAGCGGGCATGGCGACTTCTGCGCAGCACCCTGGGGTGAAAGCCGAACGGCATAAAATGGACCCTTAAGGTGCTCAACTGTGGGGCACTGCTGCACCCAGTGCTGCCCGCCCACCCCTCTGTCTAGTTCCAAAGCACTGTCACCGTCCCCAAAGGAGACCCAACATGTTCAGCAAGACAAGTGCCACCTGTCAAGGACCCTTTCACTTGTATGAATCTATGCGGCACCAAAACAGGAGCTGGAGCCACTCTGTGAGTATCCCCTCCCGCCTGCCGGGAGGCTGCGATGGCCCCGTAAACACACAACCTCTAAATATTTGCCCCCGGCAAACACAGTTGGGGTGGATGACCTGAATCGCCCAGATGACGACTCTGGGGCCGGCCGTCACAGGGCTGAGCAGAGTTGTCTTGTGCCAGAAACTTCCTCGGTGTGGTCAGCGGTGCCCACGGCGCACAAGGCAGCCGTGGAGACCCAGGGTCGGTTTGCGCAAATGCCTTGGCTCCAGGTGTGGGATAGTCACAGTTTGTTTCTTGTCACCTTCTGGGAAGTCACTGTGGCCTTTTCTGTTTTTTTTTTTTTTTTCTTTTACCAGAGCCATGCTTTCCATTGAATCCAGATTCCTGAATAGAGGGCCATTCTGTGGTCAGCCCCAGGAGGGCAGAGCCCATCCCATCAGGGGTGGGGTGGAGGAGGGTGTCCAGGTCTTGCGGGTGAGAGACGGACTGGGGACGATGGCGGCCAGCATTGCTCTCGGACCTTCACCTGTCCAGGGAAGGGCTTGGCTGAGCTGGCGCAGCCCCGTCTTCTCTGGTTGCCGGAGTCCCCTGGAGTCGAGGCAGGCCCTGCCCGTGTCTCTGGGTGCCTCTTGAGCACACCTGAAGGCTCTTCTGAGTCTCCCTCCTCTCCCGGTGCCCTGTGACAGCCTGGGGGACATGAGCGGGTGGCAGCGCTGCGTGGGTGAGGAGGAGACGCGCCCTGCCAGCCGCTGCTCCCTCTCTACCGTGTGCTAGGAAGGCCGAGAGCAGCAGGCTGGCCTGGGGGGCTCGGGAGACCTGGGAGACAGTCCCCTTGGCTGTGGACATGGTGCTCTTCGGTGGACCCTCGTGGGCTGAGGATCCATCAGACACCCAGCACCATCTCCAGTCCTTGAGGGACGCTTCATACCGTTCTCAGCATCGCGACGTGCAGGACGGCTCTGTCAGCAGTGGGGACAGGAGCAAATGAAAGTGTAGGTTCCTTGTTCAAAAGGGACAAGGAGACATTCCCCTTTCTCCCAGGGTCTGGCCACCAGCCGTGGGTGCTTGATCTGCCAGTTGACGGTGCCCTCCCTGGCACACCGCATACTCAGGGGAGCCAGTGCAGATGTTCACAGGAGCACGGCCTGACCTGACCTCCTCCCACTTAGCCCCAGGCCCCTGCTGGGGATGGAGGATGGCCGTGGTCACCAGGCAGGGTGGGCCAGGAAACCAAGTGACCAGAAACCTGTCCCAAGGAGGTGGAGGGGCAGTAGGAGGCAGGTGCCTGTTCTGTAGTCCACCTGTGCCACACTCTCAGAGAGGATATTGTTAGGGACTTCAAGACAGTGACCATGAGCAGGCAACTCCAAGGGAGGGACATGCCCATGACCCCATGAAGCTGCTCCTGGAAGTGGGTATGCAGGAAGTACAAAATGGGTGCTCAACAGTGAAGTGCTGAGGGTAGAGAAAGGAAAAGAGAGTCACAGGCTCAGAGTTTGGGGCTATATCCAGAGAAATACCAACTCAATGGCAGTTGTGGCGGCTCAGCCAGTGTTTGCTGAGTGAATATGTGTGATTCCTTTCCTGAGCCCCAGGTCCCTGACCTATAAAATGGGAAAGATAATAAAGGTGCTTACATCAGACAGAAGCATGGAATATGTTCCCTTTTGGCATGCAGAGGAAGCCCACCACTTCGATCCTCTTCATTCCCAAAGCTGGGTACCTAGTGCACATTTAAAAAATGTTTGTGTTGAGGATTCCTAGAGAAATGTGATTTTTGCAAATTGGATTCAAAACAACCCCTTCACCTTTTCGGACCTCATCGCCCCACGTGGAGGATGCAGCTGGCATGGAGGTGCGAGGCGGCTCCCCGACAGGCCACGCAGCAGCTGCGGGAAGGAGCAGGGAAGGAGTCCGTTTTAGTCTTCAGACCACCTTTTCCAGGGACTGGTTTTCTTTCTCCTCTTTCCCAGGGCAGTTTTGTGTCTGGGATCAGCTTTTTACACGAGCTTGGACCTAAAGAAGCACGTGTCTGAGTAGCCCCTGAAAAGCTAGGGGATCTCGGTGGCCTTGTTCCCAGAAACCACAGCTGAAGCTCACACCCAGTGGGAGCCCCCAGATCCCCCACCCAGGACGCACTCCGCGTCCACTCCGGGTCCCTGCAGCTGAAGACCCACCGTGAGGACTTACTCTTGGTGTTCACATGCGACCAAGACTCCGGTCCAGTGGGAGAGTGGGAGGCTGAGGCTGCCTGAAGCCCCTTAGAAGTGTTTGCCCCAGGATGCCATCAACTGGGGACAAGGGACCTTTGCCCATACTTTCACCCATGTGTCCTCAAAACCCTACCATCTATTTGTGTCTCATTCTTCCAGAGAACTCTGTACTTTGAGGTAAGTTTGTAGCCCAATATTTGCTTTTTAACATTGACAAGGGAGAGTGGCAGGAGACTGAGGCCACCCCTCTGCACTGCCCAGGTGGGTGATTCACATGGGATGAAGGTCATGGTGACTCACCAGACCTACATTTGAATGGAACTAGCTGTGTCCCTCCTGGAAGACTCATAACAAACACCTGGGATTTGTGTGGAACATTCCAAACTCCAGGCTCTGCTTTTCTGTTTTGATTTTCCATCTCTGAGGTCTTCCAGGGAACCAGCCCATTACAGTCCCGTCCACAAAATGGGAGCGCACCAAGTCCGTGGGGTGAACCGCATGCACCAACCCGCAGGCACGCGCCACCTGTGGCTGTGCATTGGAACGCCTGATCCCAGGTGTGGTGCTAAGGAAGGGCCCTGTGCAGCCAAGCGTGACTTCCTATTGGGCGTAGACACAGCAGCGTTCCCTGTGGCCAAGGATGGCACCTCTAGTAATAAATGCCAGTGAACTGGAGGTGAAGTAACCTCATGCCAACAAGTCACCCCATGCTGTGTTTGCACCGAAAGCCCCCCCAAAACCTGAAGAAGCAAAACCCAGCTGCAGGTTGATGATTTTGGTGGGAGTGGAGATATGGGTCGACCTTCTGCTGGGCTGTGGGCCACGCCCTTGGGATCGGCTCATTAGGGCTATAGGTCCAGCTGGCCATTCCCAGGGCCTTGAATTTGCTGAGGCTCTTTACAAGCCTGAGTCACACCACACCCCATGGGGGTGAGCCAAGTCTTCACCCTGCCTCACCTAAGGTAGGGGGCTCCCGTGGAACCCCTGTCTGCCTGGGGGAGTCAGGCCTGGGAGCTGGTCCCCCCTCCTGACTTCTCACCCAGTGCTCTTAAAACCCAGCAAACAGCCTTGAGATGCATTAAATTGCGCTGAGGTTCTGACAGCTTGCAAAGCAAATTCTTTGCAACTGTTATAAAGGTCTCATTGCTTAAGTGTACTCCAGCAAAACCACCAAGCCCCCTCCACGCCCAAGACTCAGACTTGCAAGGGAAGTGAAATGTGCCTGCGAGGCTGCCAGAGTGACCATGCCTAGCCCAGCACTTTTTGGGGGAATATATGGAAGGTTCCAGAAGAGGTAAGGATTCCTCATGCAGAGTGACGTGCTGGAGCTCAGCTTGCTTGTGTTCACAGCCTTCCTGCCTCCTGCCAGCCTATTGGACCTCTCTCCTTCAGTGTCCTTGTCAGTACATAGGATTGTTCCAAGTGGCACCTTGGCTGGTGGTAATGAGTTGATGTAAAGCACCAAGAATAGGGTTTGATGTGTATGCATTCGGTGACTACTATATGCCAGGTGCTGTTGATACAAACATGAGCAAATAAGAAGAAACCCGGCCCTCCTGGACTTCCTATTTGGGGGTGGCAAGGGTATATAGCACGCACTCAATAAGGTCCTCAGCACCCAATCAGCTCAGAGGTGCAGATCTTTGCCAAGGAGTTGCACACTGGCCACAGGGTGTTTCTTCTCATGAGCTTTGGCTGTGGGGTTGACATCTCACAGCTGTAGTGTTTTGTCAACCGGTGACTGTTGGCACACAAAATGTGCTGCCAACAACACTTGAGGTCCAGGAGTTTCCCGGGCCAGCCTTGTCCTTGACCCCACCTGCCTGTCAAAGAAAGGGTGGGTATGTTTTGCATCAGCAGTGAACCGGGTCAAAGTTTAGTTGATCAGAAGTTGTGTAAGGACTCACTGTGGCTGGTCTCGGCCCGAGGCCTCCCAACACTCATTAACAACTGCTCAATGATTATCTCCCTGGATTTATTATGGTGACTTGGACCAAAACATCCCTGACCGTGGCGCTGATCCAAAGACCTGCCCCCGACGTCACAGGCGAGCCTCCCTGGGTGTATCAGAGGGGCAGGGCCGTCCTCCACGGTATTTAAGGCAGGAGGCTCCACCGCCAAGCACGGCCTTCCCACTGGGAACTCGCGGGAAGAACACGGAGAGCCACCCTGGATCTGACGGAGACCACCCAAAAGGAAGGCAGGTGGGTCGAGCTTTGCTAAAAATTCCAGCAACAATACAACTCAGTTTTCCTCGGGGCCGTGACTCTCTGGCCATGTGCAACCCACCCACGGTCCATCGGATGTTCCAGCAGGCGTCTCCTGGTCCTTTTGTCCAGGAAGGCTGTTTTCTGTTTCAGGTGACCCTGGCATTTGTGCCCCTTACCACAGCTCTGCAGAAATGCCTCCTCAGCTGCACAACGGCCTGGACTTCTCAGCCAAAGTCGTCCAGGGCAACCTGGACAGCCTGCCCCAGGCGGTGAGGGAATTCGTGGAGAGCAGCGCCAAGCTGTGCCAGCCGGAGCACATCCACATCTGCGATGGCTCCGAGGAGGAGAACGGACGGCTGCTGGGCCGCATGCAGGAGGAGGGCATCATCAGGAAGCTGAGCAAATACGACAACTGGTAAGCCCCCCCCTGTGGCCCACCCCGCCCTCTCCTTGGCATCAGTGGAAAGAGGTGAATGAAGCCCTCTCAGGGGCTGCAGATGCTTTAGAACCTTAATAAAATGGTCAGAACCATTGAGGCAGGATGACCTAGTGGAGCCACCGAGGCCCTAATTGAGCTGGGCAGGCAAATGCTCTTTGCAGCCTAGATTCCGGATCATGATGAAAGACAGTCCCCATCCCTAGCTAGTGGCCTAGTCAGCGTCTTCCTGACAAGGTGTCGGCTGGCTTGGCCACCGCACTTCTACAACGTGCCAGTGTGCTCCGTGTCCTGCTGGGTGTGGGAGAAATGTGACAATGTGAGATGGGTCTGTTCCTCACGGTGCTTGACTGAAGGGGACCCTCGGACTTTTGCAGCTGGTTGGCTCTCACTGACCCCAGGGATGTGGCCAGGATTGAAAGCAAGACAGTTATCATTACCCAAGAGCAAAGAGACACGGTGCCCATCCCCAAAACTGGCCTCAGCCAGCTGGGTCGCTGGATGTCAGAAGAGGACTTTGAGAAAGCCTTCAACGCCAGGTTCCCAGGGTGCATGAAAGGTGAGCAGGCCATTCTCCCAACAGGGCAAATTGACAGCACGCCTGTCCTCATGACACCTGCCCTGGTGGTGATCGTGACAGCAAGGGAGCCCCGCCCCCGCCTCAGTGTCTCCCACTCTGTGTGAAACGCACCCCGTTCTGTTCTCAGACGTCTTGCGTGAACCCTACAGGGTTCCACACGTGTGGATTTCATGCAGCCTGGCCGAGCCTAATCGTAGCCTGGGAAAACATGGATTTGGGCATTTTTGTCCACTTTGCCGTAGACTTTGCTAAACCTTGGGGCTGGTGGCCATGAGGGTGATATTGATGGTGGGAGGCCATAGCAAAGATTCCTGCGGAAAATGATTCCGGGTATGTTTGCAGGCCAAGGTCATTGCTCACCGTCCCCACTGGCCCCTCCCCAGGTCGGACCATGTACGTCATTCCATTCAGCATGGGACCCCTGGGCTCCCCGCTGGCCAAGATCGGCATCCAGCTGACGGACTCGCCCTACGTGGTGGCCAGCATGCGGATCATGACGCGGATGGGCACGCCTGTCCTTGAGGCCCTGGGCGACGGGGAGTTCATCAAGTGTCTCCATTCCGTGGGGTGTCCCCTGCCTCTCAAAAGTAAGCATGCCACTTCAGAATTGAGAGTTGATAAAAAGTAAGCTCCTGCGCTCCGCACATTCACACGCTGACGCGGCTGCGCCTGTTGCAGAGCCTCTGGTCAACAACTGGGCCTGCAACCCAGAGCTGACGCTCATCGCCCACCTGCCGGACCGCAGAGAGATCGTCTCCTTCGGAAGTGGGTACGGCGGGAACTCGCTGCTGGGGAAGAAGTGCTTTGCTCTCAGGATAGCCAGCCGGCTGGCCAAGGAGGAAGGCTGGCTGGCAGAGCACATGCTGGTAGGTGGGGACGTCCCCTGGCCGTGCTGGGAGGCCTGGGGTGGCAGACGCAAGTCCGTTCAATCTCCTGTCTGCGTGGGAGATTCATAGACAGGGAAACTTCTTAAGTAATTATGAACTCCACAGTCTATGTCCCTGCTGAAGGACCTCGGGCACAATGGCCACCATGGAGATCCTGTGGACTTCATTCTTTTGAACGGAGATAGATCTTGAGGGTCTACCCTTGGGAACTTCTAGGCACATCCCTAGACCTCAGGGTAGTAAAGAACAGAGACCTCAGTGAAGAACCTTGTCTCCTGCAGATCTTGGGCATAACCAACCCTGCGGGTGAGAAGAAGTACCTGGCGGCAGCTTTCCCCAGCGCCTGTGGGAAGACCAACCTGGCCATGATGAACCCCTCCCTCCCGGGGTGGAAGATAGAGTGTGTGGGCGACGACATCGCCTGGATGAAGTTTGACAACCAAGGTGACTGTCTTGGGCCCAACCGGTGATAAAAAGTGGACTCCTGTGGGTTATCGACCTCAAACATGGCCAGCTCTCCCAAATCCAGTGTCGGGTGTGTCGTTCAGTTAGTTCAGAGGCTGCGAAACCTCAGAACTCTGTCCTCTGCCAGCCCAGCATCCTTTAACAATCTGGGTCAAATGGGCCGTATATGGCTGATCGCTTATATACAAACATTTAATAAGCTGGTGGAAAATGGAAGAGGAAGAAAGAGTTGTGAGAGTCTCAGAGTTGCACAGTCTCAGAGATGCCCAATGAGAACAGGCATGTCGTCTAAGGAGGGAAAGGGGTCGGGGAGCTTGGTACGGAAACCAGAGGGCAGATGCCAGGCTGCTCGGATTGGGATTTACCACCGCTTTTCTGGTTGGACTTGTGCAGGTAACTTAAGGGCTATCAACCCAGAAAATGGTTTTTTTGGTGTTGCTCCTGGCACCTCCGTGAAGACAAACCCCAATGCCATCAAGACCATCCAGAAGAACACCATCTTCACCAACGTGGCCGAGACCAGTGACGGGGGCGTTTACTGGGAAGGCATTGATGAGCCGCTGGCCGCGGGAGTCACCATCACCTCCTGGAAGAACAAGCAGTGGAGCCCGCAGGATGGTGAGCCCCCTCCGGAGGCTGTGCGCTCTGGGCTGCAGGAGCCTGTTTGGGCCAGATGCTAAAGGGCCTCTCTCTCTTTTTGTAGGGGAACCTTGTGCCCATCCCAACTCGAGGTTCTGCACTCCTGCCGGCCAGTGCCCCATCATCGACGCTGCCTGGGAGTCTCCGGAAGGCGTGCCCATCGAGGGCATCATTTTTGGAGGCCGCAGACCTGCAGGTGAGCTCTCCTCTGCTCAGGCGGGGGCATGGGGTTTGGGGAACTGAAGCACAGTTGGAATCTCTCCTTTTCCATGACCTTGTCAGAGGGTGCCGATGAGCCGGAGCTTTCTTTCCCCAAATCCAGAATAACTTGCAAGCTCCAATGTAGAGCCAACTCGTTGGCTTCCTGGATCTGTGACCTAAGGTGGCTGGATTGGAGTTTACAGATTCTTTTGTGGCCACAGTTGGTACAGCGGTGCCTTAGCAGTTTTCTGTATAGCTGCTCAACTAAAAAGACGCCTTTTTGCCAAGTCATTTCACGTGTGCGATGACATCGCTGGTCTTAGAGTCTGAATGTCAAAAGCTTGAAGGAGTTTTCTGTCCTTCTCAAGGTGTCCCTCTGGTCTACGAAGCCCTCAGCTGGCAGCATGGTGTGCTCGTGGGTGCTGCCATGCGATCAGAGGCCACGGCGGCAGCAGAGCACAAAGGTAAACAAAGTCAGGACTTGAAACCACATGGAGGGAGATTAGCGCTCTGGGCAGCCCCCCCTTTGCCCCCACTCTGTGTCTGTTTGTGGAGAGAAAGACGGGGGCAGGAAGAGAGAGAAGTAGGCATGCTATATTCACAGTAAATGACGGTCCCTATTAAGCCTTTGGACACATTACTTACCAAAGGACCCCTTTCTTTAATAGGCAAAGTAATCATGCACGACCCTTTTGCCATGAGGCCCTTTTTTGGCTACAACTTTGGCAAATACCTGGCTCACTGGCTGAGCATGGCCCAGCGCCCAGCAGCCAAGTTGCCCAAGATCTTCCACGTTAACTGGTTCCGGAAAAACAAGGAAGGCAAGTTCCTCTGGCCAGGCTTTGGGGAGAACTCCAGGGTGCTCGAGTGGATGTTCAACCGGATCAATGGGGAAGACAGCGCCCAGCTCACACCCATTGGCTACATCCCGAAGAAGGATGCCCTGAACCTGCAAGGCCTGGGGGACATCAACCTGGAGGAGCTCTTCGACATCTCCAAGGAGTTCTGGGAGAAGGAAGTGGAAGACATCGAGAGATACTTGGAAGACCAAGTCAATGCTGACCTCCCCTACGAAATCATCAGACAGGTCCTTGCACTAAAACAAAGAATAAGCCAGATGTAATCAGAAGCTAAACGCTTTAGCTTTACAATCATCCCTTTCCATTCCATAGGATGCACTCAGAGCAAGAGAAAGTGAGTCTTCCCAAATCGGCACCAGCAACAGCACAATGAGCACACTGTTGAGCAGATCAGAAAGGCACATGTAATTGTTCAGATGAAAAACACAGAGACAAGGCTAGGAATCAGGGAGATTGGGGGAGAAATCTTAGCAAGTCTCCAAAAATTGCATCTAATGCATGTTTTGTTCAACTTTAAGGTCATCTGGGCATCTAGTTGTTAAGTTTTTCCACATTAGCTATACCAGTTAGCTGGAATGCACAGAAGAAAACACTTGAGCTGTATATATGTGTACATGTGTGTGTGAGCATTGTGTATTTGTGCATTGTGTATTTGTACTGTTATCTAAAACATATTTAATACCTTTCGAAAAATCGTGGGCAAGATTACCTCCTAGTTGTTAGTGGAAAGAAATGTTGCTTTGTTACTAATGTGTGTGTTTAAATTATTTTTGTATACTGTTGTTCCTTACCTTTATGTAATTGTAATCAGCACCCTTACCACTTCTCGGAAAAGATTACACAATAAACTTTTATAGGAAAGATGGATTCGACTTGCTTGGTTTCTCTCACCTAAACCATCCAAAGAGAGAGCTCCGACTGAATCCTTCTTAATCAATCCCACCTCCACTCCCATGAAGGTGGGGGCGCACAGAACCACTTTGAGAAGCAGGTGAACTGCAGACCAGGAGGAGACCAGGGAGGAGGTGGTGGGAGGAGGGAGCATAGAGGATGGGAACGAGGCTGTGCTTTGCTTGCAGGATCTGCTGGAGCCACTAGTTGGCGCCCTATGGCTAGGAATAGCAGTGCCGCTTCAGGGCTGTACTTGAAGTGTTTAACGTGAACTTTTGGAAAAAAATTTGGTCTGGGGACTCAGCTGTCCCTAAGAATTGCATTGTGAACAATTTCAAAGCCTCTTTTCTTTTGACTCTTTTTTTTTTTAAGCAATACTTTCCCACTATGACATCCGTGGGAGAGAAATGCCTTTCAGAAGGAAAGGCCAAGGGGAGCTCTGCTTTGAGAGCACTGGTTAAGTTCCTTCTGCATACTGTGGACTGTGGCTACACACTGGGCTGCCTGAGAAGGGAGGTGGCATGGGTTGGCCCCAGGTGGGCCTCGGGACCTGGCCTGGTCTCCTCTGCTCCTAGGGTTTATTGGGTGTTCCAGAACACTCCAAACAAACCATAAACTTTATATCGCATTTGTCTGCAGATAAACACTGCTCCCCTTGGCTGTTCTTCCCTCCGGGGTGGGCAGGGTTCTGCCTTCACCCTGCACCACACCCCAGGCCTGTTCTCAGGTCCCCCCCCCCACCAACGTGCTCCTTCCTGGTGGTCATCCCAAAGCCTCCACTTGGACAGCGAAGCCGAGATCACCCCAGGTTTGCAGGTGGGGAAACAGATCCAGAGGGGTCCACCAGGGCTGGGACACAGTCCTGCCCCTTTAAGGGATGGATGACTGGATCTGGCTCCTCAGATAAATTGGCACTTTGTAAGACCAAAACCAGTGATGGGGAAAAACCACTTAATGGAATGAAATGCTCTCTGCGGTGCTAATTTAGATCAGTGGCTGCAGACTCCATCCCTCATCCCGCTTCCGGAACTCTCTCTGGACATGCTCTCCGACTCCAACACCGAATGTGTGAAGGAGAGAGAAGAGGAGGCGGCTGGCCCGAGGCTGGCTGGAGTGGGCACCAGGCCCCACAGCCACCCCTGGGGGCCTTTGGGCCAATTCCTTGAGCCCTGAAAAACAGGTGCAGTTTGTTGCAGTGCGTGCCCTGCCCTGGCATCCTATCCTGGCCCCTCGGCTCTCTCCACTGGCTCTGGGGGCAAAGCTGGCCGATCCCGAACTGCTAGTGCTCCTACACAGCAGGGCCTGCCTGGCCTCCAGGGTGACCATGTTGCCACCAGGCCCTGGACGCCTGGGGACAGCTTAGGAGGTGACTCAGACACAATAAGAGATTTGGGGACACAAAGGACTCGCCACTTACCCCTTGTCATTGGCCGCTGACTCGGTTTCCCTAAGCACACCTCTGAGCCCTCCATCTGTCTCCAGGTCTTGGTTTTTAGGCTGAGATTTCTGGTTTCAATAACCAGGAAGCTAGGGCCTCATGGACCAGCATCTTCCTGTTGTGCCTGCAAGTGGGAAGACAGCCTGGGGTCGGGAGGCTCAGAGGGTGAGCCGCTTGTCACCTGGAGCAGGGATAGAGCCAGCCCTCCCCAGGGGACCACACGACCCTGAGCCCAACACCGGCTGACGTCTTCTACCCCTGACCCCCAGGAGCTCCCGGGCTGTGGGGCCCCGTGTGAAGACCAGGACACAGGAGGGCCACACAGATACTGAACCAGGACTACAGTGACCGGCCTCTCCCTCCTCCCTCTCTCCTGGAGTCTACCCTGTCCCAGGGCCCTGGACCTCCCGCACACTGAGTGTCCCACACCACATGGACCTGTGCAGACGGTGGGCCGTGGGCCTCGCGGACTCCCTTTGTGCAGCCCTGAGCCACAGCAGGGCCTCTGCTGTCCTTCTTAGCTGCTGCAGTGATGTTCCTAAGTGAGCCCCCCCATGGGCAAGGGCTGTGGCCTGTGGCCTCCCTCCACCCTGCTCCTTTGCCCCAGGGGGCACCCTGCCCTGGCCAGCAGGCCCTCCTCACTCATCCCTGGGGACCCCCAAGGGTGAAAGGAAACAGCTCAGCTCAGCACAGGCCTTTTGTCCGTCCAGAGGGTCTGGACGGAATCAGGGTCCGGCCTTCCTCTCTGTGTGTCGGAGGTAACTGCCCGAAACTCTGAGCCTTGGTTTCCTCAGCTGTAAAATGGGCATGAGAATATCTGGACCATCTCAGGACTGCCAAGAAGGTCAAATGATATGGCCAGGACGGGGCTGGGCCTGCGGTGGGCAGGGAGGGCGGCTCGTCTCATTTTTATCCCATTCCAGGTCTTCAGTGCAGCTGGGACAGGAGCCCCCTTTCTCCCACAGCAGCCACGGTGCTGGTGACCAGCAGGGGCCGGGGTGGGAACGCCCTTCCCTGCGGGCTCCACCCAAGTGCAAGAGCCACTGGGGATGTCAGGGAGAGTGGGGAGCACAGCCAATCAGGGACATCGCCAGCAGCACTCCTGCCCCGGGGCAGGCCCCTTCACCACCCCCCCCCCCCAGAGACTTCAGCCAAAGGTCCCGAGTTCAGGTCTAGTCATTCTGCCCTTTTGTGTCCTTAGGGCAAAATCAAGGCTGGGCACAAAGACGTCACCGTAAGAATTCTTGTTACCAAGAATGCTCTTCCTCATGGCCCCATATAGGAGCCAACTCAGTGCTCCTAGAGAAATTGTAGTTCCTCCAGGATAGAGAACTGGGCAGCCATGTAAAATGACTCAGCAGAAGATCGTTTATTGACATGGAATATTTGCCACTCCGTCCCGTGTGCGGGTAGACGATGAGCGCACGGTGGGGTTCTGCGTGTCTGTGCAGGCGAGCGCTGAAAGAAGACAGCACGGGACGGTAACCACAGTGGTTTTGGGGAGTCCAGGCAGCTGGCCTCTGGCCTGGGGGTGTCAGCAAGACCCCTGGTGTCACCACGAGTGCAGGTATTGAACGCAGGAACCCTCCCCCCAGGGGCCCATCAGTGCCCGGTGGCTGGAGAAGAGAGCAGGGGTGGGCGTGAGATGACCTAAACAGGCCTGGCAGGAGGGCCAGGGGAATGGCCACCAAGAGCAGGGTGGAGAGACCACCGTGCCTCACTCCCTCCAAGGCTGGCATCCGGTATGGCAGGGCCACAGGTTAAGAAGCTGGAAGACCCCCCCACCACCACCAGCTGGTGAAGATCTGCTGCCCCGATGAATCCTCCTCCCTGAGGCCCCCAGACTCCCCACACGGCTGAGGGGCTCCCACCCTGCTCGGGAGTCGTCCCTAGGTGGCCCCAACAGCCCTCCCCTGTGCCCTACAAGTGCCCCCCGGGACTCTGCTGCAAACCAGGCAGCTTGGCAGGGCCAGGGGCGTCCCCTACACTGAGAAGACCCTGGCTCAACCTCCCTGGACAGCCATCAGGTCTTGTCCATGGGGAGCATCGGGGGCTTGGGACAGAAACTTGTTCTCAAGTGGAGCAAAGCGAAGCAGGTGATTTTGCCACGGTCCTGGGTTTTTTTCCTGCTCATGTTGGCACAGGAGCTCAGCAGAGTGGGGACCTGGGGAGAGGCTCTTGTTAAGGCCCCTCTAGGACCGTCACCTGGATTACAGGAAGAGCCGCCAGCGCACAGCTCATGCGGGGCTGATGATTACAGAGCCCTCGCCGCACGCCATGTTCTCTCGGCCATCTGGGCCTCTCCGCAGCAGGACAAAGCTCAGAGGTTTCTCTGAGGCTCAGAGCTGGGACTTAGGGCCGCCGCAGAGGAGTGGCGGACGTCATTCGGTCCACAGTAGCACCGGAGTGGGGCCAGGAACACATTTGCCTCGCTGACACCTGCCAGCGTCTGTGGGTTGAGGCTGCTTCCTGGGGGTGCGCGGCCCACGCCGCAGACCGTCTGGGCTGGGAGCCCCTGGGTAATGGGATATGCAGATGCGTGCGCCTTTGCCAGGCAGAATGGCAGGACTCTTCTCCAGGCGAGGCAATTTACAGCAAAATATGCTGTAAATATTTGTTCAGCCCAGGAAAATGACTTTAATTGCATAATTAAACTCGTTGTAGATGCTGCTTCCGGACAAAACGATGGGGGAGAAGAACTGAGCCCACAGCTGTCCCTCCGAGCTTCCTGACTGGAGGGACAGGCTGCTCTTCACAGGCTGCGCTGGGGCCTGTCTTTCCACGGAGCAACGGCAACTTTGAGAACAGACAGGGAGGGCGAAGGAAAAAGCAAGGGGTGTTGAAGTGTGGAGGGAGCAGAAGAGGTCACCTACTCAGAGGACCAGTGGCGGGTGTGGGGGGCATCCAGACCCTCAGGCAGGATTTAGCACGGTTTCCAAATGTCCCATGCACGTCCCACCTTCCACAGACAGGGGCCACTTGAGCAGGTGATGAACCCATGTGAGGGGGAGAGGAGGGGTAGGCTGAGAGACGCCTGCTTTTATCTATTTATTTAGACATTTGCTTTAAAAAAACCAACACCCAGCACCCCCCACCAACATAGCCTCCCGAGTACAATCCTAAGTGAAGAAGCTGGCCACAGAGGACACAGGTGCCATGTGCCCTGTTCATGGGAAATGTCCCCAGCTGGGACCGAAGGCAGGTCAGAGATTGCCAGGGGCTGGGGAGAAACTGGGAGGGAGAAAGAGATGCTAACGGGGACAGGGTTTATTTGGGGGTGATGGGAATGCCCTAAAGTTAGATCGTAGTGAAGTTTCCACAATCCTGTGAATTTATTAAAAGCCATTGAATTATGCATTTTAAATGGGTAAGTTTTATGGAATGTGAATTATTGCTCCATAAAATTGCTAAAAAAAAAAAAAAGAGGAAAAAATACAACAACAACAAAAGTTCACTTATTAGAAACCAGTGTCCTTCCAGGGCCGTGCTGAGGCTGGCACGTGCCATATGAAGGAGGGGGGGAGGGAGGAAGAAGCAAGCGCAGCAGAGAACCGAGGGGCACGGACTTCCTCATTCAGGTCCACCGCCACTTTACTGCCAGGCCAGGGAGCCTCCTGGACCCCGAGCACTGCACACGTCACCTCATCAATGACCAGAGGGGAAACTGAGGCTGTAGGAGACGGAGGCTGCAAAAGCCACTTGACCAGCAGGTGGCAGAGCTGGGACCCTCAGGAGCCTCCATCTCCATCCTGATGGCATTGATCTTGAGCCGTGGCTGTGACCCCAGATGGGTGCTCGGCAGAGGGAAGAACTCTGGGGTCAGGAGACCAGGAAGCTCACCCAGCCCCGCCAGCCACCAGGAAGCCCACCTAGGTTGGCACGGGCATCAGAGGGGAGGGTCTGGCGCACATCACAGCAGTAGGAAAGGTCTAGGCACAGGGCAGGGTCCTGGACTCGGGGTCCATCAGTGGCACGAGGGTCCCATTTCCTCCTCCCCGTCCCTGGTAGCAGAGTCCAGTGATGGAAGAACTCACTGCAGCCTGAGACTCCTAAAGTGCTCTGGGTGCCTTGCCTGTCCCTGAGCCTCAGCTTCCCTGGCTGCACAAGTGCTCTGTCCTGCTTCTTGGAAGTCTTTCCTTCCAAGAAGGGGAGAGTCACTTGGCTTTTTGGTGGGGCTCTTAGGTCTAGGATTCGGGGGCGGGAGTATAGCTCAGTGGGGAGTGGTTGCCTATTATGGGAGAAGCTCTGGGTTCCATCCTCAGCACTGTCAGAATAAAATAAAGAGGAAGAAGAGGAACTGGAGGTGAGTGAGCCCTCGTAAGAGACCAGGCAGAGCCTGACTTCATGGAGACGTGACAGCCAAGGCACTTTGCACCCTGAAATCCCATGGCACTTAGCACCCCTCCTAAAACCCCACCGCTGCCCCCACTCACCCCTTTTATGACACCATCTGCTCCCCAGGTACAGGCGAGATCTTTCAGTCCCAGGCCAAGGACATGGGGGGCAACACCCTCATGGGCACACTCTATGTGCCCCAGACCTTCCACCCTGGCCCACAGCCTGCTGCCCCTCTGTCTTCAGGGGCTTGAGTGACAGTTGACTCCCGCCACAGGACACTGGACTAGCTTTAAGAAAAGCCCTCAGCATCTCGTAGGGAGGCAGAAGGGGGCCTGTTCTGCCCCCTTCCCCATCAGGAAGACCTTGGCTGCCTGTTGCCAGGGCCCCCGTGTGAGGGGCAGCCTGCCTGGGCTGCAGGAAGGCGGCTCCCTGAACCCAGTGGCGTCCAGCCTGGGTTGCCTGGAAGTCCCCTGCCAAGGCTGAAGTTCTGGGTCTAGTTGAGCGGGCCTGGGCCGCCCAGAACTGGCTGCAGGGCACTGGTCTGGTCTGGTTGGAGCCTCCCAGGATGAGCACAGCCCCCCAGAGTTGGCACAAACCCCTGCCCCACGTCCCGCTGGTTAATGGAACACTGCCCTCAGAGGTGAACTCGGGGCTGGCCTGGGTGGGCGTGGAGGTCGCGGGTCCCCCTGAAGCGAGGCAAGGGCTTCATCACCATGAAGGACAGAGCCCAGGGAGCCAGAGGCCCCGGTGACTCATGCGGCAGCTGCTCCCCCATTATGTAAAGCGGAACTCGGAGCCATTAGCCGGTAGGAGATGAGATGTACATTTTGGATTAACTCAGATCACCAGAATGCGTCTTCTCAGCCCAGGGAAATTAAACATGAAGTCGGGAGAGCTGAGACAGGAGGGGCGGGGCTCAGCCAACCATGCCGGATCGGCTTTGCTTTTTTATTTTTTTCAACAGGCTGCAGGCTCAGGGGACGGGAGGACACTGCTGCCATGTCGGTCTGGGAGAGAAGAGATGGAGCCGAGATCCACTTTCTGTCTCTCTCCTTGGGCAGAAGCACAATCCATCTGGGTGGCAGAATTAAATTTTGATCTGTCCGATTTCTTCCATCACAGCTTCCCCTAATAATGGTTATTTATTGAGCACTTATTATGTGCCTGGCAGTCAGCTAAGCACTTTGTAGATAAGGAAGAGGTCCATTTGTCTTCTCCCCTCTGCATCCCCGTCTGCGTTGTTGCTGGGGAGGGAGTCTGGAGGGAGAAGCTGATAGGAGCCGCACAAAGGGAGCACTGGGTCATGCTGGGAAGTCGCACTAGTCCTTCAGATGGATACCAGGGAGGCTGGGGTCTCAAAGCCCCCCGGCGTGACGACCCAGCCTGACTCCTGGTAGGTGACCAACGGTCTGTGCAAGTCACCCCCGGAACTGTAATAAGCACATGTCCTACTGGGAACCTCTTCCAAGTCAAAAGAGACGGTGAGGGTTGGACAGGGGCTCTGGGGCTCTAGAGGTCTTTGGAATCTGAGAATCAACTCAAACCCCAACCCTAACCTAATCCTGGAAATGGACAGGGTCCGATGTCCTCCTAACTTGGTGTAGAACAGAGCTGCAGTACCGCCTAGCCCACCCCGGCTCAGGCATGTGGCCACTGGGTCTTCCTGGCTTTGTGGACACAGACCCACAGGATCTGGGGTCCCACCCAAGTTCCCTGAGTCAGCTTGGGCAACTTCAGTCCGTCCCACCCTGCACCAAGGTGGGTCAGAAGGGTTGACTCTCCTGGGCTCCTGAGTGTCAATTCCAGCAGAAGAGACACATCCTCTGGGACCCCTCTAACAGAGGGGAACAGTCACTGCACCCCGTGGGGGTCCACTCTGGTAACAGCGGGGTCAACTTCCCTGTGGCTGGGGACGTGAGGACGTGCTCTGAGAATCGAAGTGTCTGCAGTGTCCCCAGCCGACCAGTGCCTCCCCATGATGGCCGGTCTCCAAGATCCATCCATCACTTTCCAATGAATAGTTATTGGATGTTGTCCTACTGCCTGGTACTTAGAGTCAGCCCAAGTGCTTAGATGAGCTGATCAGGACTGTCTTTCCTAATGAATTGGTCCCACAGGAGGCCCTGTCCTTTTCCCAGGGTCACTGAAAAACTTTGAGCCTCAAGATATCAGGAGCAATATTTCCTGTGGGCAAGAATCCACAGGTTCACTTTTCTGCCCCAGTCAGAATTGCCTGGAGGTCAGCCCCTGGTGCTGCCCCCCGAGTTTACAGTTCTGCCTGGGCAGCTGGAGAGATGGTGCTTTGGTACTACCCTTCATCTACCCACCCAGCCACCCACTCACCCACCCACTCATCCATCCATCCATCCATCCATCCACCCACCCACCTACTCACTTATCCAACTTGCCATCCACTCATCCATCCATCCATCCACCCACCCACCCACTCATCCATCCATACATTCACCTACTCACCACCCACTCATCCATCCATCCACCCATCCATCCACCCACTCACCTACCCATCTACTCATCCATCCATCTATCTACCCACCCACCCACCCACGCACCTACTCATCCATCTATCCAGCCAGCCACCCACTCATCCATCCATCCTTTTAGCCACAGACCCAACACGTCACCCTTCTATTTAAGTATCCATTTTTCATCTTCCCATCACCTAAGCCTCTAGGTGCCCTCCATCCACCTTTCCACTGGTCCACTCACCCGCGGCCTCCACTCAGTCCTCATCTGGTCTTCGCCTGTCCATCAAGCGTACACCCTGCCTCCAGTCTCGGACAGCCCCCCATCTTGTCACTGAGAAGCAGCCTACTTTCCCCATGTTCCTTCAGTTCACAAAATAACTGCTAAATCAGAGCACGCCAACTGGGTGCCTTGGGAGACTCAGGAAAGGTCCTCAAAGGAAGCATTTGAGTAGTGTCCGGAGGATTCCATAAGGAATCTGGAAAGTCATGATCTAAAGGAAAAACATAGGAATTCCAGGTGGATTCCGCGGTGTGAGTGGGGCTCAGGGTGGGTCAGGGTGGAGCGTGGCTGAGAGGACGGGGGTTACTAAAGGGAGAGACCAACACAGATGGTTGGGCGTCGGGAGAGCAGGTGTGTGCTTTGGCTGGACTAACGGATACAGGAGACCAGAAAGGTAGTGTGGCCCGCCCCAAGGGGTAGACTACGGACAAGCAGGCCATACCTCCGAGCTGGACCTTTTGTGAGGCAGGAGGTGGAGAAGCTGGGTAACACTGGGGTGTCTGGGAGTGAGCCCTCATGGAGAGCAGCCCGAGATTGCGTCCTCTGCTCTGGGGGTGGTGGTCAGGGCTGTTCTCAAGCTGGGGCGGTGGGGCTGCCGTTGCCACTGGGTCTAGGCTCAGACCACCTGGCTGTCCCAGGTCTCCTCTCGGGCTCACATCTGAAACTCCAGCCACAGTGAACTTGAATGACCTCAGCTTGGAAGACAGGCTTTTGTCGGAGGTTGACTAACTGCCTTGGCCATTTCATAATGGCCATTTTGGAACAAAGGGGCAGAGAAAACCAAACAACTTCCCACGTCTCTCTGGCAGGGGAGAAATCAAGGTCTTTGATGGTCTCAGACGTAAGTGCTTGCCTGCTGTTAGGCTAAAATTTCCGGCATCTGAAAAGTTCCAAGTTAATTTTCAGGGGGGAAATTAGATGAAAAGTAGCTTTGAAAACACCGAGAACCTTGTGTCTGAAAACTCGGTTGCCAGGGAGACTCTCCAGCACTTCCTTGCCACCACATTATAAATTAAGTCCCTAACTGAAGGGTAATTAAGGTAATTGTCAGCACTGCCGCAGGGAGGTGGCGTGTTGGGGAGGGCCCAAGCCTGGGGGCACAGGCCCCTCTAGGTCCCAGGAGGCTGGGCCCTTCCTGGGGAGGGCGAACCACAGGCCCTGAGGCCTCTTCCGGAAGGGCCAAAGCCCTGCCTCGAGGAGGTCCTAAGTGTCAGGCTGTAGCCCCGTGGGTTTGGAGCAGGGTCAAAGTGGAGCGTGGGCTGATGGGCAGACTGTGTGGGCACAGTGGTGGCCCCCTGAGGCGGGCTCACCCGGGGCATCAGGCAGGAGATGGAGCAACTGTGATCTGCCACCTCCAGGAGGGAGGCAATTTAGCATGTAGCTCATGGTCCCAGCCGTTCAGCGACCCATCTGTCCATTCATCTCTCCCTCCATCTGTTCATTCATCTAGCTGTCCGTCGGAGCATCTGGCCATCCGTCATCCAGGCGCGCACGAAGCCAGCACCTACTCACTTACTTATGCATTCACCCATCCATCTACCTGTCGGCACAGCTCCACCTGCCACACCCCACCCACGCGTGTGCAAACACACACACACACAGTGGGAAGATGGGCATGTGGATGGAGGAGGGGAGGGGCAGGGGGTGTTCGGATGCTTGGAAGGAAGGATGGATGGAGGGATGATGGAGGATGCATGATGGAGGATGGATGGATGATGGAGGATGGATGGATGGATGATGGATGATGGAGGATGGATGGATGATGGAGGATGGATGGATGATGGAGGATGGGTGGATGGATGGATGGATGGATGATGGATGGATGGAGGATGGATAGAGGATAAGTGTGGATCGTGGGTGAGCACACCGCCTCCATCTTTCCATCTGGGCACCCATTCACCTACACGTCCATCCATCCAACATCCCTCCATCTATCCATCTGCCCTCTCTCCGTCTAATCGGTGACAGTGGTGACCCCGTATTGAACCGACAGTAGCCATACTTCCTGCAAGCTTGCTGGGAGCCTTGTCAGGGCTGCTCCCAAGGCCGTCCCTTGTGTGGCCACCACCCCTAGCCCGCAGAGGAGGTGGAAGGGAGGCCTTGTTGCTCGCAAGGGCAAGAGCTTGGATTTTAACCCTGTCTGCAGAGAGGGGGCAGTGGGTCTTGTCACCGTCAACCTCTCCTTGTTGGCCCTGAGAGTCAGACTCCAGGATCCTGGGGCTCTCAGTTGTCCAACTTGAACTTCTGCCCCAGGGCACCCGCCCAGCCCCACCTGCATGTCCCCGCCCCTTCCCTTCCCACAGGGTAAACAGTGCCAGCGTGGTCGGAGTCCATGCCAGGGTGAAAGTCCATGGGTCAGGAGCCTCCGGCTGTTGTTCCCAGAAGCAGAGGCCTTGCTGCCTGTGAGCTTTGGCCTCTTTCCTTTGACCCGTTTTAGGGAAGTGCTCATTCCTGATTGTCAACTTTCACCTACTTCCAAGGCCCCTCTCCTCCCACAGCTGGGCTGGAGGCTTGGGCCCCTCGATGCCCTGGCTCTGGCCTACTGCAGGCTGAGTCTGTGTCCCAAGAGGAGGGGGCTGCTCTCAAGTGCTTGTGGAGGCCCAGGGGCCCGGCCTGGAGGCCATAGGCACCAGTCCAGTCAGCATCTCAGTGGGGGACAGGGTGCACTGTTCTCCTTTTGCAGAGGAGGAAACCAAGGTTCATGATGGCGAAGGACCCTCACAAGGTCACACAGTTACTTGCAAGGAGCAGAGTGTCAACTTGAACCCCAATATATCAGCATGCAGTGGCTAAAGACAGACTACAGTGGCATATGGGGTGAGTGTGTGTGGCATGGTCCTCAGCTGCTGCTGAGCTGTGTGACCTTGAGGGAGTCACTCAACCTCTCTGTGCCTCAGCTTCCTCTTCTGTGAAAGGGGATAAAAAAGAGACCCAAAGGGAGGGCTCAAAGAAGGGGTACACACCAAGTGCCCTGAATGCCCTCAGCACACAGCAAGCGCTCAACAGGTGTTGGCTCTGTGGCAGCTGCTCCTTTGTGCCCCAGAGTTCTCGCAGAACGTTTGCTGGACACGGAGCCCTGTGGTTGAGAGCTGGCTCCCTGCTGCAGCCCCACCGCAGAGGCTGGAGAGCCGGGCGATGAGGATCGATCTGCTGTCACTCAGATCCGGGAAGGGCACCCTGAAGGCTGGCAGCTTCTTGGTCATTGCGGCAAATGTGGTCCCGGGAGGCAGTCGCCTTGCAGAGGGACTGCTGGGAGCCGGGACCTGGGGAGGGGGCTCCCCTCAGCATGTCCCAACTGCCCCAGCCCAGGGGACAGGGGTTATGAGGTCTTTGTGATCCAAAGGGACGAAGGAGC